AGTATGAAATCAGTCACACTGGTTCCTATTGAGCCTCAAAAAATGAATTATCCATTAAAATATTCCCTTGCAGTGCCATTTAGAATCTGTTATATTACCACAATTCTCTTGGGATTGCCAAACCTGAGAATAATAAGCTCCTTCTTTGGGGAAAATGCTACTTAAAATGAGCTCATAGTGAGGCATCATTATTCTCAATAAGTGCATTCAAATTGCTGGCAATAACTACTGGAACATCTGGGTATAGTAAATTATTAATTGTTGTCAAGGAGATCCATAGACTGTCTACAAAGTAGATGGAAGCATTAATAAGCAGCATATTGCAAAGCTGGAATTGGAAAAGAAAGGCTAGCTCTGTGTTTGCACATTTCTCTAAAATAATCATAGGAATATTGGATTTGATAGGACCCAAGAGTCTCCTGCTTTTTACACTAAGTAATGGTCTAAGGAATATGTCCAGCTACAAATAGATCATCCATAATTAAAATTTCTTGGGAAAGGATATAAAGCAGCAATGCAATATAAGAAATTAGTATCTGGATTTTCACTTTGCAGCCATCAATATTCCAGGAGAGAATGGAAATTAAATCATAATTATCAGAGACTTCACCAGATGATCTGACTGAACCTTCAGAAAGATAGGAAACTAAGTGAAGAAGGGGAAACTTTGGAGAGCAGTTGAACAATGGAAGGCAATCATAATCCCTTTAATCTTTAATTAAAGCAGGTGAAGATGAGACAGGAGACCTGGGAAGAACCTAGGCCCAGATGGAGACAGCCTCAATTACTACAAAGCTTCAAACTGGCGATAGCTTTAAATAAGGTGATTATATGTGCTTCTGTGGGGATATCCATTTAGGACAGTGAGACAAACAGAGAGGATCAGCAGAATTAGGGGTTTGGTTTCCACAGAGTGAGGTGTCAGAATTTACCAGACACCATTACTGGAGGCTTGCAAAGGCCTGTTTGGAGCCTGGAATTGTTTAGCTCTCATTCCTTTGTTTATTTCAAATAATTTTGTTGAGTTTCAAAAAAAATAATAATCATAAAATCAAAATAACAGAAAGTGGAAAAAATGGGGAGGGTAAAAATGGGGGGAAATTAAAAAGTAACAGAAAAAATACATAATACATAAAACAAATAACTTCTGAATTTTTCTAGTAAACATATAAATATACAATATAGTAACCTCTTACTCTAAATTTAAGTCAAGACATATTAAATCATACAAAAATAATACAATTCAAATAACTCATTTTTAATTTAACTACCTGATAAAATATTATTAAATGAAAATAAAATGTGCATATATAATTTTAGAACCATATTTCTCTAATCAAAACTGATCTAATTGTCCAATCCCAAAATCCAAACTTTATCTTTTTCAGCCAAAAAAATCCAAGAATAATTTTCCAATAACAAAGAATACATAAAACAATATTATAAAGAACACCAATAATCAATGTTCAATATAGCTACAAATATCCTCTCATTTTAAATTTAAACCAATATATAAAAACTATGATTAAATATGAATGAAACATAACTTTAGTCTTAACATTTCACAATGTTTATTTAATCAAACATTATCTCTTGTGCCATCACTTTGCTGAACACCTAGTTCTCATAGCACTTTCTGTCTAAGGATATTACCCAAGTAGTAGGGCTGTATTACTATTATTCTTCTTATTTTTCCTATTATCTTTTCCTATTGGTATTTTATGATTATATTACTTTGTTGTTTGTATGTCCCCTGAGAGCTTATGCACTGGAAACAAATTATGTGTCCAGTCACACTTGGCCAATAAAGAATATTCTATTTCTAATCAAAGGAACTGCTTAGTTTTCAGTCCTGAAGAAGGCTGCTTAAACAGATCTGTCACGTGGGCAGCAAGTCCCATGTATTCCCCTGAGCTTCAGGAAAATGTGTGTGTGAGAGAGAAAAAGCATGAAGAGAGAATGGAATTAGGGGTTAGATCATTCAATTCAATTATCTCTGAAAAAAGCAGAGAGTTCTAGCTAAGGTTGTTTATCTAAATACTGTTTGAAGTTCCATTCAAGCACTTCAGATTTATTACAGGTAGAAAGTAAGAGATCTGCTTACAACTTCCTTGAATAATAAAAGTTGCTCAATTTGGGAGTGTTTCTTTAGCACAGATGGAGGTTGAAGTCCAACCATTAACAGTTCTTCCTTTTGCCAATTCTGCCTGGCAAATTTCTTCTGGCAGCTTCGGATTTCTCCTCCTTTGCTTCCTGTTGGAGAGCTGTCACCCATTTAGACCTGTACTGAATGTAGCTTGCTAGACTACATCTTAAACAGCAGAAGGAGCAGAAAAATAAGGAGGTCAAAGCATTGAAGGAAGACCCTCTCCCCAGATAGAAGAAGAAACCATGAGGCAGGAGAAATTAAATCGCAAACAAATAATTAAATCACAACAGTTTAAATCCTTTTAAAAATAAAACACAAACCTTATCTGACTCATTTCCAGAGCTTACAGCCTCAGGCGAGCCCACGTGCAAACACTTGAAATTAACAAAATCACATAGAATGCACTCTGGTGCAAGAATGTAACAAAAATGTAGCAAGACACATAACACCATAACTGCCACTTATTAACCGATTAGCAACACAAATAGACATAGGAACTAACCAGATTTGCCAACTCCGCTCCCTTTTGGGGAACAGAGATTAGTCCTTTTCTTTCCAAATAAAGCCAAATAGGAAAATTACCCCATCAATAGGCACAGGATTAAAACATCACCAAACACAGGTTTAGTATGTGTTAGACTAAAAAGACCTCAGAAATGATATATAAACTTATGTTTGGATGTCAATCATTCTAGCTAACTGAGAAACTTTGCCGAATGTCACTCGTCTTGATTTCTTGTCATTAAAGGCTTCTTTCCAGTAGCTCTGCTTCATTATTCAATTATTCGTCAAAGTGCTAATTGTTGCATCCCGGCTGGCAGAATCCTCATCAGGGAGTATTTTCCTCCCCACAATTCTGGCAACCACGAAGGGACTCCCAGATCACCCAGCCACAGGACCGGGTCCAAAGAACCATTATCCTGCTGGCAATGCTTTTGTCTGTGGGAAGACAAACCTCTGCAGACACTGCCCAGTTGGCAACAGGTATTAAAGGGAGTCTTTGAATCTTGCACAACAGCTGCCTGGAAAGAGGATAAGTACCACCTAAATTACAGTCTTTAGAAATTGGAAAGTGGGCTGAGAGTTCTTTTATCCGACTATTGTCTTGGTTGCAGCTCTTCTTTAAGGTTACAGAGTCCTCAATTTATGACTGTGAAGGAGCCTGGAATTTCCATCATAAGTCATGACAGTCTTAAGCTGATGTATCCAGTGTAACCAACTTGATTTAATGACCTTTTCTGTGGCAGTTGTAAAATGAACATTGTGGTGGTGAGCCAAATGTGGTGGTTGTAAAGTGAATGCTTTGGTCATTAATTGAGTTAATGCATTCCTGTGAGCATTTTCTGCAGGAAACTGACCAAAAAGGCTGGTTTACAGTAAAAAAAAAAAAGTCATAAATCATGTCATATAACTGTGGGATCCTGCAACCGACCATAAAGGCAAGTCAATTGCCACTGCTTCAAATGCAATCATGTGACTGTTGAAGGATGTACCGTCATCCAGAACTGGACCATAGTACCTTTTTTGGGGGGGGGTCCATCATAATTTCGGTCACTAAGTGTGCATTGGTAGCAAAATATATATCCATCCTTTTCTTGCATGCAACATAGAACTACAGTATTAGAATTTTTTTTCTAGCTTCCTATGGAGCTAAGGGGCTTTGATGAGTGATCCTTGAAGGGATATGCTCATACACACACCTTAGCTTACTTAGAGGGAAAATAACCTGTTTGCAGGACCTTAAGGCAGCTGTGTCATTTGCAGGAATCATGTGACTCTCCTCCAAAGTTGTGGTGTGATTTCAGGAAGGGGCACAGCTCTTTTCTTGTATAGCAGACAATGTACTTTGGGTACATTTCCCACCTGCTCCAAAGCACTTTTTTAAAAATCCAAAGTGCAACACAATTCTAGTGAGAACACATTTCCAACTACTGCTAAAGTGCAATAGGACAAAAATACTTACTCTTTCCCCAAAACTACAAGAGTATCAGAACATTTATAAATTGCAGAAGCACCATTAATGAGATGTCATTTACCATCCTCAAAGCTCCTTGCAGATGCACCAGATGATTAGCTCTATTTAAAATATGAGATTTCCTTCCTCACGCAGGAAGCAGATGTCATCCGGAAATCAAAGAAATATGTTTCTTCTTTCAGAAATTCTGAAAGATTAATTTTGTGCACAGTTCATAGGTGGATAAATCAGATAACAGTCATATACAGTACAAATGATTGCAGATAGAACAGCCTTGTGTGCTTCTTATACATGCAGTAGATCTGGACTAAGGGTCTCTTCCCACAAATTATTTATGGTGTCATTGGAACAACTTGGTAACCCCAGTGTTACCCCTGTCATAATGATGTTTTCTTCTGGCCAGGCATTCATTTACAGAGCTTGGGCCTTCTATTCTCATCCTGCAGCAATCTTTAAAACATTGCATAAGCCGATCAGATGGTTCACTGTTATACCATTAGCTCTATCACCACAGCAAGGGCAAAGAGCCACTGTCACTTCAAATGCAGGTCCTCGTGTGTTATATGAGATGTATTATAGTGGGAGCTGAATGTTTTAATCAGTGACATTAGTCAACAAAACCCCTGCAATGCAGATGTCACCAGGTCACCCACCTTACCAGGTATGATGTTTCTCATCACATCAAGCCTTAAGAATCATAATTAATCATAATTTATATAAACATTCACCTGTCTGTATTGATTTCAAGTAACCCTATATTGAAATATGTTTTTGAAGCAAGTCACTCAAGTAAAGCAGATGATAAAGGAGCTTAATCAGGAAAAAAAAACAACCCTCAGTCAAAACTTTCCATCTGTAGAATTAATAATACCTATATGGAGGGTGCCAGTTCTCTCATCCTTATTAATAACATTGCTTATTTATTAATAACATTGCTTACATCTGAGAATTCTGGAGTGTGACATTAGCGTTACAATCTTCAAAAAAGGAGTTACTACCATGCCAGCAAACCACAGCCCTGGATTAGCTGGAGATACAGGGCTACAAATTAAATTGGGCCTTGTAACAAAAGATTTTCCAGTCTCCAAGGGAGTCACAGAGATTCACACCTGCAAATGCTTACGTTTTCTCACATTCTGCAGTTATGGATTAAATAGAAGGGGGCCATTTATTTCTTCTTTTTTAAAAAATTAGATTTAGAAGCTGCCTGACTTTACAATGGCACCCATAAAATGGGTAGAGCTCCCAATTGCACGATCACATCTTGTCTTTTTTCTTACCCTGCTCTGCAGACACACTAAGAGGTTCTTAGTAAAAAAAAAACAAACAAACAAAAAAAAAAAACAAACAAAAAAAACCTAGGCTGTGTTCCAGGAAGGGAGTCATGAAGTACCCTGGACAATTGCTGACAATTCATAAGATGATGAAATCTTTATTTTTGTGTTCCAGTATAGATGAAAGTACTTTAGTAGTAAGTGCTTTAATCTCAGTTTCTCTTTAAAAGTACAGGGGAATGCTTGAGTGTTGCTTATCTCTACTGGCTGAGTGAACCATCTTCACTGGGCTGGTCAAGTACAGCAGACCCGAAGGAAAGTTTCACACGCGCTCTTCCAGTTTAACAGGGAAACCAGTTCATTGCTCCATTATCTCTTGAATTAAACGAGGTCCAATCCCGTCGGGAAGAAGCTTAATTCTTCTGGCCTGACTTCGCCCGGGAGTCATTCATTCATTCATTCATTCATTCATTCATTCATTCATTCATTCATTCATTCTCAGTTTCGGTAAAATGCAGCGACGTTTTTTCCAGCGGTCCTGGCAACGCGGTCTTAGCTGATTGCTTGGTGGAACCGCCAAGGACATGTTTCCTTCCCAGGTGCTGAAGTCCGGCTAGTTATTTTTTTCTCGGTCCAAAAGTGAAGCTCACAAAGTAGTCCTATTACCACACTCTCTCCGCTCCTCCCCGGCTCCGCTCTTTCTCTTTCTCCGTGACTAGTACCACGTTGGCTTTCGGTTCCACCTAATCTCTGCCCTTCCCTTTTCGTCTCCTGTCCTGTCCCGACCCTCCCACCCCCGTCCTGCCTTCTTCGACGCAGCTCTTCCCCGAGCACCGCGAAGCTTCGTTCAGCAGCCACCAGCTTGCCTGACCGCTCAGCGCTGGATCCCGGGGTCACCGGCGTCTCCGGAGCGCAAGACGTCCCGAAGATCGGAGTCCCCGACCGTGGAGTTATTCTGCATCTTTCCCTCTCTTCGTTCCTCCCTTGGTCCACCTTCGAATGCTTGCAATCTTTCGACGGAGAAAAGGGAATCTCTTCGCAGAGTTTCCAAACTGCCACCAGTCTATCTTCCGAAGCCTCATCGCTTTCTTTCCGCTGGCAAAATCCTTTCTAATCCCGCATCCAATCCCAGGTCTGCTCTTCTAAAGTCCCTCCACTGTTGATTGTTGGAATTATCTGGATTATCTGGCCTGTTAGGCTGAGTCATCAGCTGCAGTAGGCCAAGGTATGAGGAAGTTTGGCCTTCTTCCAGTATTCCCTCTCCCGATGGCTTCCTTTGAGAAATTCCTCAATTCCATCCTGCACCCACTCAGGTAAACTGTTCCTCTCTCTATCTGCCTTACAGAAGATCCATTCCCCACTTCCTCTCTTCTCCTTCAAGGCTCAATGTAGACAGGATGAAAGAAGTTGATAATCAAGTCAACTCCACTGACAACTCCACGTTTGACATTGATGTTCTGTGCCCAGTTAATATGGATTTCACCGAATGGTTCCTGCCTGCTTTCTACCTCATTCTCTCTCTCTTGGGGCTTTTGGGGAATACACTGGGCTTGTGGACCTTATGCAGAAGTTCATGGAGGAACAACTGGAATCCCTTCAATGTGCTATTGTGTAACTTAGCAATTGCAGACTTGTTTTATGTGATTACACTGCCCTTCTTTGTGTCCTACTATCTTCGTGGACATGTATGGCTCTTTGGCCAAAGCTGGTGCAAACTAACTCGACTTTTCTTCCATGTCAACCTTTATGCCAGCATTGGCTTTCTGACCTGCATCAGTGTTCATCGTTATCTGCACATTGTGCATCCAATGAAGATGATAGGAAGATGTCAAACACTTGGCTCTTCTGTCTTTCTGAGTGTTTTGGTCTGGGTCTGGGTCATGATTCAACTTTCTCCTGATTTAACTTTTAGCAAAAGGGGTCTCAAGCCTGACAAGTGCCATGACTCAACAACACACAAAAACCTGGAGCCTTATTTGTTATACTTTCAAATTTTAACAGTGACTGGCTTTGCTATTCCTTTCTTCATTGTCACAGGATGCTATTGTCATGTGGTCATTGTCCTCAGGAGGAACAAAAACATGGATCCTAACCTCAAGCAGAAGAGCATTAAATTGGCAATTATGGTAACAACACTTTTCTATGTGTGTTTCCTCCCTTATCATATCTTTAGGAACCTTAATTTCTTGTCTCGGAGATGGCAACATCAGGGATTTTGCAATCAGACTTTAAAGAATATTTATATCTTCTACCAAGTGACTCGAGTCTTGGCTAGCCTGAATAGTGTCATGAACCCTTTGTTATACTTGCTGGCCCGTGAGGATTTAGGGGTGCAACTGAGGAAATTTGGTAGAAGCATCAGACTGAGTATGAAGACTTCTTTCCAGGACAAAATCCAACATTTGGAATTAAGGCAATCAAATATTATGCTTGATAAAGAATGCGAAGAGACACTATCTAGCGAACTCTGAATGATTGTTTTGAAGGGAATATCATAAATGCCTACTGTCTGAATGCTCCTCCCTCTTTTCCAACATTCCTATCATTTGATGGATACGAGTATTAATGTTTTTAATAGTTTGAAAATTGAGTTTGGAGCACAAATTAGAAGCACTATGCAAACATGCAGAAGATGTAGAGTGAGAATGAATAGAACACTGTGGGATAGGGTTGTGCAAGATAAACAACTAAATTTATGGGCATTGTCATTTTATTATTTGCCTGAATTAATCTTTAACTCTGATGCATAGTCCTGCCCTTATTACTTTATTGTATATGTATTTTCTACGGAGGTCCTCTGAAGAGACTGGAATTTTTAAAAGTTGCTGGATTCAAAACATCACATACATTACGTATAATAGTATTCTTTTCTCTCTCTGTGTGTTTATAGTGGCAGTGGGAGACCAATTTATTCACTTGCCATTAATGTATATCTATATAGCTATAGCTATTGCTACCTAGCTGGCTAGTTAGCATTTCAAATGAAATGTGAAATGTCTCTTTTTCCTTACTGAGGGCAGATAGCCAGTGAAAAGTGCATTAGTTCAAGTTCTGCAAAACTTTTTAAAACTTTTAAAAAACCCTTTAGGCTGGGAGTGATGTATTTTGGTATCTGATGGCTTATATAAGATTGTATAAAATGGCTTATATAAAAAAGCTAGAAATGTATGGGTGCATTTTGAAAGGATACATCATGGTATATTGCACAAAATCATAATGCATATCTTTTAATATATACACACTCACAAATCCATATATTATATAAATACGTGACTATACTAGCTAGGGTATTTGGAGGAACAAACTTATGCATATGTAACTTTTGCTCTTTAACCACAAATATTTTAGCATACATTGCTTTGTTCCATGATTAATAGTTTCTTTTCTTTTAATACCATCTTAAACTGTGTACCAAGGTGGGGATGGGGGAAAATATAAGGTACAAAGCCAGAACAGAATACTTTATGTTATCTTTAAAAAAATCTAAAATTGATTTGCTTGAGATAGATAGATAGATAGATAGATAGATAGATAGATAGATAGATAGATAGATAGATAGATAGATAGATAGATAGATAGATAGATAGGCAGGCAGGCAGGCAGGCAGGCAGGCAGGCAGGCAGGCAGGCAGGCAGGAGACAGACAGATAGACAGACGATAGAAAGAAAAAATATGACTATGCTGTCATTCATTTTAATGAATATAACTTTTTGATATAATGACTTAGCTGTTTTATCTTTTTTCTTGTTTTGTACATTGCCTAGAGTTGGGCAGCTAGTAATTATAAATACACAGACACATAAACAAACAAGCAAACAAACAAATAAAGGGTGCTATGCCAACAAATCTTGGATGGCAGTTAGAAAATCTGTGCATTGACAAAAATTCCATCTGTCAATTGTAAAAGGCTACACTGCTTGGATCTGCATATGTACTATGCGGATATATTATGATATTCTAGCTTCTGGGGAAGAACTTGATGTGTATAAAGGCCAACAACAGCTAAAGAACTGTCAGCTGCAACTTCAAATGGTTATGAATAGATAATAACAACAATTTAAGTTGATGTGACTAGAAGAATTGAATCTGACTTACATTTAACTTTTCACTGGGCAAAATAGAAAGGCTGTTCTCTTTTTTTGCTCCTTTTAGGAGAGTTGAGAAACCTAGGGATCCAAATTTAAATATGACAGTCAGTTTAGACAAAGAATCATAAAACATAATTTAGTCACAGAATGAAAGTTTGGAAAATGATTAATACAAAAGCAGGTTTTCTATCTGAGTTAGTGTTTCTCAACCTTGACAACTTTAAGGTGTGTGGACTTCAATTCCTAGAATTCTGGGAGCTTGAGAGTTGCCAAAGTTGAGAAACACAGATCTAGATTAATGTATATAAATATATAAATAGCATGGGAGTTTATGGGATCGGTGGGTAGGAGTATATGATAAAATATGTGTTATGATGTCATTGCTCAAATGACACAAATTTCATAATTAATATTATTTTGTGATGATGTCATGATGCATATAATTCATCACCACTTCTATGTATTAGGTGAGGATTTGGACAGAGAGAGTTATAGAAGCATTAGAAGACTGCTTTGAGTGCATAGATTGGGGCATGTTTAAGGAAGCAACTACTGATAACCAACATACAAATGTAGAGGAGTATGCCACCACGGTTTTTTGCATATATCCAAAAGTGCATAGACAATGTCTGTGTCCTGAAAAGCATTGTTGTGAGGGCGAATGAAAAAACGTAGCTGACTTATGAGGTCCGCAAGATGCTGAAAGCACGGAATATGGCTTTTAGATCTGGTGACATGCTGATACTTAGACCAGCCAGAGTAAATCTGAAAAGTGCCATAAAAGGTGCAAAGCAAGTCCATTGCCAGATAATTCAGAACTTTTTTCGGGACCCAACACCAGGCAAATGTGGAAAGGAATCCAGGTGACTCCCATCGAGATGCAAGAACGACACAAACTTCCTAAACAAACTGAATATATTTTTTGGTAGATTTGAGGCATGAAATAGCAATCAGTAAAATGTTGGTTCTAATAAAACCAGTAAAGTGGAGAAAATACTGCAGATTCAACCCAATCCCCTTAGTTTCATTGGCCTTTAGCACAGCTGCAGCTTCATGGAGGAGGGGTCAAAAAATCAAGGTCACATTCAATCCCATAATAGCAATCACCATAGTGACTTTTTTCCCCCATCCTGACCCCTAGAACCCTGTATTAACATTTGGTAATTAACACGATTGCCTTTAATTTCTAAATATGAAGTATTGAATAAAATCTGGATTTCAACAACCAAGTCTGACAAACTGGATTAACTGTTTCAAAAAAATAATTTTTAATATTCCATACAACTTTATGGCATCTTCAAGTTTCATTGCCGTAAACATGGTTGGGGCTTGTGACATGTTGACTAAGTTGTCATATCACAACAAATCAAAATGAGGCTTGTAGCTTAACTCAGTTTGATCCTAGAAATCACTCTTTTGTTTTTCAGTGATATTATCATTCTGAGCCTTATGCCACCCCACTATATATAATTAGCTTTGAGCATCCATGAAGTTATCAGAATTGAACTTGACTGAAAAAAATATTTTGAGAGGACAGAAAAATGTACAGTATAATAATATCAAAACTGCTTATAATAAATAGATGCACTTCAAGACAAAACCCATCCAGAGTTGCTGGGAAACATGTGGCATATAAATTTAATCCTGCAGATGATGATGATGATAACGATGACAATGATGATGATAAACATGATCTACTTTGCTGATCTAAAAAAAAATCTAAAAAGGTTGCCCTTGATAATACTTATAAGAAAACCAAGAATACATGCTAGACTGAGAAATTCAAAAACTGTCATGGCCCCATCAGAACCCGTTCAGAAGAGGAGGAGTTGCAACTGTGACCGTTCTGATAGGAATGGTATGTCTCCCTTGGCATGTTTGAAGAGGCCAGGGGCTGAGAACAGACCCCTCATACACTGGGGGAGGTGCTTGACCAGACAGAAAGCTGCCTGCCTGCACAGACACAGGGGAGGATTGGCTGCTAACAGGGAGTGATGCTGATAGGCAGCAGATGAGGAATAGCTGCCTCCTCTACTCGATCCAAGGGCATAGAGAGCGGAGTGTAGGCAAGCTCAGAGAAGGGCTGCAAGGCTACTCAGGAAAAGGTTGCCCCATCCCTCGTCATAAGGAACACCTGAAGTGGAGTGACGTAAGGAGAAGCCGTGGGGAGTTAGTCTTTGCCAGGAACAATTGTTTGCTTTGGCTTACACTCCTCAGGCTTTGACTTGTGCCTTTTGCCTTGTCTTGAAGATTGCTTGTCACCTCTTGCTTTGCCTAGCCATGAGGGCTGCCTTCTGCCTTTTGTTTTGAACCTTGCCCTTGTCTTGTGGACTGCTTTTGGTGATTTGCTTTGCTTTGCCTTTAGAACTGCCTTGTCTGCCTTGTATCTTGTCTTTGCCCTGAGGACTACCGTTTGTCTTGTGCCTGGACTGTGGACTACAGTTCACCTCATAGAATGCTTAGCCTGGTGGAATGGACTTGGAACCCTGGACCTTGCCCTGTGAGTCTGTTCGTACTCTGTAGACCTTCTTTGTAATATAGAGGCTGTTGTTTGGAGGACCATGGTGGCTACTTTCAGGGTAGCGTGGGGTGGAGCCTTACTGGTTGTTGGAGGGCCGCTTGTTGGACCATTTATTGAGAGCAATAAAGGATCCTTGACCACCTGGGTCATAACAAAAACTATTGCCAAATAAGTAATAGCATAACACATCTGCACTGTTGTCAGGAAAATGAAAGGTTCATATAGTTGGCAACTTCAGGGTGTGTTTCTTATTTTCATGATATTTGGCACCCACAGGTTCTACCATACACTCCAACCCCCCTTTTCCAGTGACAGAACCAAGTCTGATCTCTGAGAAGTAGAGGCTATGATGCTTCACAGGTGCCAGGACAGAACAAGCTCCAGATGACAATATTTAACAGGGACTTGACATGCCTGTTAGTTCTGATAGGACAAAGAGGAAAATATGCATATTGTATTTATATCTCGTAGATATAACATATATATGTTGTATGTACTTAATATCTATAGATATAAATAAAAATAAGCATAAAATATAATAAAACAATCATCATCATCATTTTAGCCATTGACTATCCACTACAGGATGAAGGCCTCTAATACGGTCCTGAACTTTCTTTTGCCAATTGGGCCTGCAATACTTGCTGATGACGTCAGTCCATCTTGTTTTAAAACAATCTTATATAAAGCAATATAATAATACAAAGAATAGTGGTGTTCACCAAGTACAATGGTACAATTTAAAGTACAATTAGTACAAGATTACTATTGGTGTAATAGAACAAAGAGAAGATATATCAGAGGTATATATACATATATAGGTCAGATAGAAGTGAAATATAAGCTTTAGATTCTGTGCCAGGATATTCAGAGTGAGATAAATAAATGTGTAGGACAACTGAAAATTTGTCTAATTTTCATTAACTTATTAATAAGTAATTAGAGACTTTTGTAAACTAGCTAGCTAGATTAGCTATTTCTTTGACTGCAAGTAGTAACATTTCTTTAACACCTGCCAGAGTCAGCTAGAGAGGTTGGCAACAAATACTGCATAGGCTGCACACAAATCTGTCTCACAAACTAGCTGACAGGATGTGGTTTTAATACTTGGCTGAGATACATTGCAAATGAGTTGCTACTGGAAAATAAGAGAGGTGGCAAGAATTAAGAGAGGTGGCAGGATATTTAGCTAGCAGTGTTTAGGGGTATACAGATAAGAATCTGGCAATGAACAAAATTTATCATTATCATAGTAAAAACAGTGGTAGTCAACATATGAAAAATGAAGTAGGAGTGAAAAGTTAATAGAGTATTATGGGATGATTTTGCCTTGTGCGCAGGTATGACTATCTTAATAGAGTATTATGGGATGATTTTGCCTTGTGCGCAGGTATGACTATCACAGATCAAAAAAATTCTTACTGTTGTTTTCTGTGGTAAATTATACAAAAATTGTACAAAAATAACTTGGTCTAATATCTGTCACACTCCCTGGATGTGAAATTCAGAGGTGTCCTTATCTGCTTCTGTACAGAAATAAAAGAGTTTTGTCTTTTCTTGATCTTGTGTGGAAATTGATTTTTTTATACTGGGTTCCTTTACCTAACCAATATTCTGATGATAATATTGATATTATTATTATTATCGATCATCGCACAGTCAGCCAGATGTTCAGACTGGATTTGGCATTTTGTCTACCTATCGAGTCCTTACCCAGGACCTGGGATAGGCAGATGTGGATGTTTGATGGTATTACAGGTATCGTCGCAGGATGGAAGCAGTTCCTAATAAGGCCGCCTTTTGCAATTGACTAATAGCAAATTTGTCAATGCAAATGGTGTTCAAGTGGTGCTCCAGTTGTTTTGGGATTGCACCCAAGGAGCCTATGACTATTGGTACTACCCTTGCTTGCTTTTGCCACAGTCTTTCTATTTCTATTTGTAGGTCTTTGTATTTTGTTATCTTCTCCAGTTCTTTCTCGTCTATTCTGCTGTCTCCAGGCACTGTCACGTCCACTATCCAGACTTTTTGTCTTTCTTATCGACAATTGTTAAGTCTGGGGTGTTATGTTGCAGGTGCTTGTCTGTTTGAATTCTGAAGTCCCAGAGCAGTTTAATTTTATCAGTTTCTATGACTTTCTCTATTTTATGATCCCACCAGTTTTTGCTTACAGGCAAATGATATTTTTTGCAGATCTTCCAATGCACCATTGTTGTACTTTGTCATGCCGCTGCTTGTAATCAGTTTGTGCAATCTTCTTGCAACAGCTTACCAAGTGGTCCACTGTTTCTTCAGCTTCTTTGCATAGGAGGCACTTACTGTCTGTTGCTGTCTTCTCAATTTTGACTTTGTATGCATTTGTCCTTAAAGCTTGGTCTTGTGCAGCCAGAATTAATCCCTCGGTCTCTTTCTTCAATTTTCCGGCTCTTAGCCATTGCCAGGTTTTATTATTATCTGCTTTCACAGCTATTTTTTTCATGTATGGCATGTAGGGCTTAGCTCGTCCAGCCTACTATTGTTCTTATTTGGTCTTTCTGTAGGCCGTGCGTTGGTCTCTAAGTCGTTGTCAGACCTTCCTGATTATACATCTTCAGTTATGATGATTATTAGTATTCTTAAATTATTATACAAACACAAAACAACAACAACAACACCCAACAACAACAACAACACAACAACAATAATAATAATAATAATAATACTAATAATAATAATAAAATAATAATAATAAAAAATAGGTTGGAAGGTATCTTGAGGTCTTCTAGTCACTCCCTGCTCAGCAGGAACCATACATTCAGACAAAGCTGTCCAATCTTTAAAAACCTCAGTGTGGAGCATTCACAACCTGCAGGCAGGTTGTTCCACTGATTAATTGTTCTAACTGTCAGGAAGTTTCACCTTAGTTCTAGGTTGCTTCTCTCTTTGATTAGTTTCCATCCATTGCTTCTTGTCCTGCCTTCAGGTGGTTTACAAAGATTTCCTGTAATCCTTGTCAACCAAAATTCCCTGTGAAGACAAAATGGAGGAGCATATGGCTCAGGGACTCCATGTCCTCACATGGGCTTAAATGCCAATGTACAGGGGAAGATTATATAATAAATTATCAAGTAAAACACTGATCTTTTTCTCAAAAGTCTCATTCCTTGTCTCTTTATCTTTCATCGTCCATCCCAGTGATGGGAACCATGCTACAAATATTCAGTAACAGTGACCTCAGAGGCCATAAAGCGAGGGTGTTTAGGGACTTCATAAAGCCTCAGGCTATCAACTGCCTTCTCCATATCATCATGATAGGAAAAGTAAGACCCACAACTTTATAAAAATGTCTGCAAAGAGAAAAAGAAAAAGATAAAAGAGAGCCATTCAGCAGACACTGAAGTCAGTGATGAATGTTTGATTTTCCCTATAAGTTTCCTTTTACAGTTGGCTTAGAACATCAGGAGAAATTTATATGATAAATATTTACTGGACCAATAATACTTACCAAACTATTCCCCCCCCCCAAGATTTGGAAACAGGATGAAGATCCATCATATCAAGCTGTCATTGTGTGAACTAATAGATCTTCCTTGGGCCTCCAAGAAAGAAATCAGATCTTCTATTCATATCAGAGAATGGTAGTAACCAAATAAATATTTACAGTTTAGGGAGCAACATGACTTGACCTTACTTGCTTCAAAGGCACATGAATACAAGCCAACTGGTCTGGGTTTCTATAAAGCATTACAAGGTCCTGCTCACAGAGTAATATGGGGAAGAAATGGACATATTTGGTCATTTGGCTAACAAACAAGAACACAAATGCTCTGGTCAGTGGATCAGACTAAGCATTCATCTTGTCTAAAATTCTGTTTTCCCCAACTGAAGCTCCACAACACATCTTTTTAAAAAAATTAAAAAAATCCAGACAGATCTTGTACAGTTCATAGCTGCAGTCTTGATGTGGTGACAAATAAATGAACAAGCATTTATAATCTTATTTCAGCTTTTCTTTGCTTTATAGATGTGTGAAGATTGTAAATGAGGATTGATCACAAATTTACATTTTAAAACCCTTGTTGCAATTGTGAACAGTTGCTGGCCCAGGTCAGTTGCTAAACATGGAATACTTGCAAAATCAGGTTAGTAGCCATTAAAGAAAAAAAAGTTGCTCCAGGAACAAAAAAGCTAGTTTGAAAACACTTGATAAACCACGGTAATTATTGATTCTGTTGAATGAATGTTTCCTTGTAATGCACCCTATGAACCTCGTCTAGGCTTAACTTGTAATGAAGTAATGCATACCAGCCAAAATGGGCTTGTGTTCAAGGTAACATAAGAGAGAGAAGATGACTGTAAAACCACAGCAGGAAAATATGCCCAGAGCTTTTATTTACAACTGGAGGGTGTGAGTACAGAGCAAAATCCATTCCTGTCATCTCAGCTTGGCTGCTGACATACTCAGACAATAGGGCAACCAGGGGTGCTCATAAGACATAAGATTTGTCTATGCTTGGTAGGAAATCCCAGGCCTTTGGCATTTCATGTTACAGCAGATACTGCCATTGTATACTCTTAATATTAGGGAAATGAGCAAGAGAAATAAATAATGTTCTATATCCTTTCACAGCCCAGAAGAACATAAGTCCATAAGAACAAGCCAGAAAAGTAGGGGAAAAAGAAGATTTCTTTTTAAAAAAATACAGCCATAAATTTAAAAATAAATCTATAAATTCTGAAGATAGACAATAATCAAATATATATTGTACACCCTAATCCTCCCCAAATTAATACATGGTTAATATTATACAAACCAGAGAAGAATGAACACAAAATAAAATTTAATGAAGGAATTTTTTTGGTAAGGCCAATTTAAAGATAGGAAAAATGGGGAGGAGCAGGGAGGGGAAAAGAAAATGAGGAACAGAGTAAAATTGTAGAAAAAAAAATACTGAAGACTATAAAAACTCCCTCTATATACAAGATATAAAACCACGTGTAATTGAGAACTAAGAGATTTTTTTTTTTAAAAAAAAAGTCTGTCTCAATAAAAGCACATGGAATTTTTAAAACAATTGCATTTTAAATATTCATCTTTCAACATAAGCTTAAGAAGTGATGCACTTTTCAGCTTCCATGATTTCTAAATACCATTTGATAGATGACAAGTACCTGCTGAAATACTGAAGATTCTCCCTTGAGTGGTATTTCTTCTATTATGAAGCATATTTCTGCAAGATTATTTTGATATCTTCTTTCAATTATCAACAAAGAGGACATTCCTTAAGATTTCATTCCTTGAAGAATGCCTAAGGAACCAAATGGCTGGACTTATCAGCTGTGTGAAAAGGGTAACCTAGAATTATAAGGTTTAATCCCCAGAGAGAGCAAAAATCTCCCAAATCAAGATCAGCTTGGTTGGCTGGCCTTTCTTAGTTCCATTCAGAGAAGTGCTACCTTGCCTGATAAGACTGAGATTCTGGAGATGTGATTTTGACCTGAAGAACCGTAAAATCCTTTGGTTAAATTAGTCATATGTGTTCATTGACTTCCCAAGGTCTTCTAGATATCCCCATTATTTTCCTCTATCATCTAAGCAGATCATTCTATCAAAAAAGTTCAGGTGACTTTGGCACAATTTATTTTTGAGAGACTCATGCTATCTGCTGTTAAACATTGCCTAGTTTTCTAGATGCTCATAGACCAACTGTTCATCTGTTGGTGAAATTATCTGTTTTGGAGTGTTAACCAGGATGAACTGGATTGCACAGCTTGTGATTTTCAGCATTTCTAGCTTAGTTTTGTGTCCCACCAAGTCTTTAACCATCTATGGATGCACATAAACAAATACTGAATTGACCAAATAAGCATTGCTTTGTCTGTAAGACAGACTCTTTAACAAGTCATGGTTAAAATAATCATGGTGATATGAATACACCTAATAGTGTGCGAATACACCCAGTCTTTAAATGGGATTGTTCAACATGTTAAGCTCAAATGTAGTTTACCTGTTTGTAATTTAGTGTGCTATGTGATCACACAAAACCTACTAACCATACAAAGCCCTTATAAACAAAAGAACACTGACATTGACATACCCTAAACTCTGCTGAAGATGTTACCTAGCCTGGTAACGAAACGTTCAGAAACCAACCCACAAGCTCGAAGAACAAACCTCCAACCACATAGATTTTCTCCATGTTTTTCTATCCCTAACTGATCTTTCAGGTCATCCAAGAATTCATGAAATGCTCATTGTCAGTGCAGTTATTTTATATTTTATTTAATGTTCCAACTCATTTTGAATCACACCATTTTCTAAGAACATTTCTTTCCAGCCCATTTTTTAGATTTCAGATCTTGATTCTAAAAAATTCTGGTCTGGATTCAATTTCATGTTTTTCCATGAATTCATTTCAGTTGCACTGAGTATACTGAATGTGATCTCACTTTGCCATCAGTAAAACTGGATCAAAGCAAGATGGGAAGATTTTTTTAGGATACATCCATCATCTCTTACCTATTGCTCTGAAATATATTTAAGTATACACATATCTTCCTGTGCTCCAAATTCATTTAAAC